AAAAACGGGCTCCCATATGCGGTATACCAGTTTTTCTCATCTGGGGAACTTAAAGGGGGGGGGTTCCCAACCCAAAAATCCCCCCAGCCAGAAGGGGTGGTGGGGGAATTCTGGGAGTTGAAGTCCACCCATCTTCAAGTTGCCGAAGTTGAGAAACACTGCTGTAAGATCACACAGCAAGGCAAATACAAACACTTAGAGGGTGGTTTCTTAAATTTATGTTAATAAATACTAGAAATCAGTTGGAACAGAAAGAAGAGGGAAGCCAGAAATTAAATATTGCTATTATTTTTGGCGTGCTTTTTTTTTCTCTCTTTTTTCTATTTTTAACAATTATCAATAACAATATCGTGGACCTCTTGCCATAAAGCTCAAACATTTGTATTTCTTTCTTTTTTTAATATCATGAAAACAACTCAACGTACTCTGCATGGTATCTCTTATTCAAGTGACACTGTGCATTAACTGCATAACCATTATCTGTCCATCTCTAGATATTCTCTTTCGGGGAACTTTATCTCTGTTTTAAATTACAAGACAAAAGGAACAGATCTTTCTAGACCAAGGTCTGCACTGAAAGACGGAGTTTCCTTCCAATGCTCTATGAGTTTCAGTTCCCCCACCCACCATTTCCCCTTCCTTGGCAGAAGATTTTGCTCACAGTTCACACCACACTTTTGCCATTCTGTTCCTCCACTTATTTTCACCCTCGATTTCTTTCTCTGGGTACAAAACTTTGCCTCTAGCCTCTTTTAGAAGCAGCAGCACTGAAACATCGACCTTTTGTGGAGTCTGCAAACCAAGGAAATGCTGTTACTCCCTGGCTGCTGCCTGATTTCTACACTAGATTTCTGCTTCTCTCTGCTTTGCGTAGAAAGCCAGAGGGTGCGTCCTACAGCGTTGCAGGAAGGAATAACTCGTTTTTTCATGCCAAAGGCTGGTCTGTTTCCTGACTGTGCGACATTCGGACCGAGAAATTGAATTAGAAGGAGATGTAATCCAATGAACACAGCATGGACAGTGGTACTTCGGTTCACGAACTTAATTCATTCCACGATTCTGGTCGCGAGCCGAATTGGTTGCCAACCGAATCAAATTTCCCCATAAGGTTCAGTGTAAATAAGGTTAATCCATTCTGAACCATA